AAATTCAAGCTAGGAACAGTTGATGTAAAAATGCCTACGCTTTTGCAATGCCGGTGCAATGCTCTTGCCATCGGCATCGCAAAAGCGTAGGTTCGATTCCTGCCGGAGGACCGATAGTTGACTCATTTTTCCATCAACTGTTTCTGGCTTGAATTTGAAGTGTGTATTACATCCACTCTAAATTAAGACTCTTTCAACCTCTAGAATTTCCCTACATCGAATGAAGTGGCAAAAATCATTATAGGTATACGTTAAGCGTCTAACAATCAGACTCAATACAAATTTTCGATGATCATACAATTTTGCCTGGTAGCGTCGTCCACATGAATCGTTAGCAACTCGCATTTGCTTATCTAATGAGAACGAGTTTCTTAGGATAAAAAGCGTGTGTAACAGAAAAAGGGTGTGCCGGCCGAGCATAGTGAATGCTATAATTTACCATAATCACATTTTATAATTTTGATAATGACGGGTGATGATGGAAGAATGTTTTGATGTTATGTGAAGAGTGCGATTACGCAAATTGCACTGCACACTGCACACTGCAGTGCAATTTCAAGTGTAATGGGACTGCTTTGCGAATCATCATCAATAATTGATAAAAATTCTGTTTTCCTCCTGCAGCGCCAACGACTTTACCTCCAACAACTCAACCTCGATGCGGTGTCTCGAAAATGAATCTAATGTTCTTAGTCGATGGTTCGGGCAGCGTTCCCTTAGCTACTTTCGAAGAATTCAAAAAATTCATGGCACTCTTGGTTGAAAAATTCGATATCGGTCCTGACACTACGCATGTTGGCGTTTTACAGTATTCAAGTGAGCCGCGGACAGGGCTGGAGTTTCATTTTAGTGAACATCAAACTTTAGCAGCGGTGAAAGATGCAATTTCTAAAGTGAAATATCATTATGGAGCGTATACTTTTGGCGGATATGCTATGAGATTAGCGCAACAGGTAAGATGGAAAACACGAAGTTATTCTACGATCTTCAGTCACATGAGGATTTTCTGTGCATCTTTTTGTCAGCTTATGCATGGCAATGTCTTATCCCTGTCTCACAGAAATATCAAGCAGGGATGGCGGCCAAAGTAAGGGCGTAAGGATTAAGGTCACTTCAGCTCGACTGCATGTCACTGGCTCCTACGCTTTAGATAGCTGCTGGCAATGGTATAAAGTTTTTAACCCCAGAGTTGGGAAAAAGTTTTTTTATGTGATAAAATACATTTTGAAAACTCTGCTGTCTGTCGATGCCAGCAAGTACGTAGTTTGAACACATCCCTACTCTTTTTATTAGATTATAAACCACTACGACCGAACTGACGCAAAGAATGTCTGGGTTCTACTTATGGATAATGGATTGTGGGACAAAACTTTAGCTCGTAAAATCTCCAAAGCAATCCGTCAGTCAGGGACTAAAGTTATCGTTCTTGATACACAGAATATCATGCACGATATTGCTGACCAAGGGTTGGACTTTACGTCTGATAATTTCGAAGAGAACGTAGAGAAAGTTAGAAAAGAGATCTGTAAATAGATAAATGTATAAATCTTGAAGTATATCTTACCAAGAATTTTTACCAAATTTAATAAAATAGTTTTTTATGGATGAAATAATTTGATGTTGATTTTTTCTCTGCATGCATAAAAGAGTTTCCTCAAGTCTGAATTACATTAGGCTACACCACACAATGACACAAACAAACGACTCGAAACTTGTTCATCTGAAATTTATGTGTCGTTGGAATGCTCTTTGCAGCTGAAGTTGAAGGAATAATGTTTTCAGTAAGATATAATAAATCCTGCACATGTGATGCAATTCGAAGCGTGTCTCATGCTACCAACGACGCACTAACCTGACGATGCACTAACCACAACAAACAGAAAGTATATAAAGTTTGCCTTGTGAAGAAGCCAGTGCACCCCACGAAGACTTTTATTAAGACCTACTATAGACAGAATGGCTATTAAATAAAATATCAACAAATGAATATATTCGAACATTTTAACTATCAATTCGCTTTTGGTCTCAGGAAAGTCACCACCAATAATTATTCACCCAGCTCTTACCATGAGTTCAACTTTTGCATTTTTTCAGCGAAGTTTACGAAAAAATCCTCAAGAAGTGTTAAAAGAGATTCTCCAGCAAAGACAAAAAATCCCTTATCAAAAGTATTTTGATGCATGATCTGCATACATGTTTCACTTCCCATACTTTATACCTGTGACATCAAAAAATTGACTAAAAGCAGTTACACAAATTCTAGTTCATTAATTGAGAGCTAATTGAGGATGTCTTTATTATATGCACCAATTAAAGAAGTCACGTCTTCGTCAAAACGATCTTCACAGTATTCATCTAAGCTATCACGACGTGGATCTTTGTTTAGGCTAAAAGGAAGAAATTGGAATAGTTGACTCTAAAGTAGCTAGAAATATAGGCTGTGACTAGACTCTGTTCTACGATGATCATGCGATAAAATATGATAAAATACCTATCATGAATTTAGGCCTCGAATATTAATATTTCACTGAAAGGTCAAACACTATCTGGTTCTCAATGAATCCGAAAATCCGAGAATTCCGTTTTTTAAAAAATCAGGTTACCATTTTTTAAAAAATCAGGTTTCAATATACCTTTGTGACGTTTGTGTATTTGGTTGATTTGTGTTATAATCAAGTTTCTCATCAACGTCCAAATTTGCACCTCTCGTTCTTTCGAGTTTGCCAACTATTGAAAAAATCTCACGCTTCATAAATGGTAATTTTGAAAAATTTTAAATTTTTTTATAAATCTTAAAAATCGATTCACATATACTGACCTGGATATTTCTCGCCCCTCTCCCTCGTTACAAATGAACTTATTAAAGCTATAAAAAGAATGACCAAAAGAAAACAAACAACAACCACAATCACCGTGAACCAGGAGCGTTTGTGGGGAACAGCTGATTCTGCAAATGACAAAAAATATATAAATAAAATGCGAAGATTGAGTAAATTAAGACAATTTTTTTTTGTGGAAATGAGGCAGTCCTTTAAAAAATGTTTTATGACTTCCAGAACCGAATTAGGCATTACCTGCTTGTACTGGTGCTCCTCCACAAACAATCAAACGTGTAGGTTCACTTGGATCGCTTTTGCCAATTTCATTAAACGCCAGCACGCGAAATCGGTATTTGGTCCAGGGCGAAAGACCTTTGATGGTTGTTTTATTCAACTTTGGATCTAACCGGTCGCTTTCATTTTTACGCCACTTCGTATCTTTATTGGTGGCCATCTCTACGATGAGGTATTTAGTTGAATTATAGTTGTTTCTCTCTGTACTCCACATTAACTTCGCAGAGAAGTTGTTGCAATGTTCTTCGACTTCTACTTTGTCTGGTGCCTGAGGCGGACCTACCAGATAAAGGACGTAATGGAAGGATTTATTGATCTTTTAAAATTAATTGAGGACACGCATTAAAAAGATTTAATTAAATCTAGTGTCGATATGACGACAACCTTCTGCCGCTGATTCACGGTTGTCTGAAATCATCACGAGAAGAAATTGATTTCAGGGGGAAAAAATATTTTACTCATTTGTCCTCATTGACAAAAGAACTCGCCGACGTCAGGATCACATGGAAACCAGGCTTTAGACTTTAGTGATATGAAGTATAACGGAAGACGACCGATCTAGCGTTCTGAGCCCGACGAACTAAGCGCAGAGATCGCATAACAGGACATTACGCTACTTTAAACGCGACCCAACCTTTCTATCCTGTTCTCTCCCTATTTTAGCCCCCTATCCCGTTCTCTCCCTATTTTAGCCCCCCTATCCCGTTCTCTCTCTATTTTAGTCCCCTATCCCGTTCTCACGCTATTTTAGCCGCCGCATCCCGTTCTCTCCCTATTTTAGTCCCACTATCCGTCCTCTACCTATTTTAGGCTCCCTATCCCGTTCTCTCCCTATTTCAGCCCACTGTCCCGTTCTCTTCCTATTTTAGCCCCCCCTACCCCGTTCTTTTCCTATTGTAGCCCCTCTATCCCGTTCTCTCCCTATTTTAGCCCCCTATACCGTTCTCTCTCTAATTTAGCCCCGTATGCCGTTCTCTCGCTATTTTAGTCTCTTATCCCGTTCTCTTCCTATTTTAGCCCCCCCTATCCCGTTCTCTCCCTATTTTAGCCCCCCTGTCCCATTTTCTTCCTATTTTAGCCCCCCTATCCCGTTCTACAGTGACGTTAATACAGTTAGCAGGGTCGTAGCTAGAAGCATATTCATATTTTCGTCTTTTGGACGACTTATTTCTTTAGAAAGATATTGTTGCAAAGATGTTAGAAAGTTAGGGCATAATTACCCCGGTGAAAAACTCTTCAGACACGTTTTACTGACCTCGTATAACAACTTTTGCCGAACTTCTTTTTTCAGCATAAGATGGTTGGTCGATGTATGCAATACACACATAAATTCCACTCTGACCAACCTGAAAACAAGGATATACCTTTATATGAGGAAAGCTGTATAATTCAGGTTACAAAAAGTAGTAACGTATCAATCACCGAAGATAACATCATATCGCATAAAAGTTGAAGTTAATACTCTCCAGTTACATGCACATTTTGACTCAGGTACACACACGGAAAACCTTATTTGTGTTTAAATGTTACTTGTTAAAAATCCAATGAATGAAAAAAAATTTAATTGAATTTAGCGTTTGGTATAAGATTTCAATTAACTCTTTTTGCTAAATATTATTAAAATAAAGAGAAATAAAAGGTTTTCTTTGTGTGTTTTTGTTCGTATATACAGTGCCGTAGCTAGAAGCTTCATTTGGTGGGCGCATATTCCTATATTCGTCTTATGCCCGAATGATGTCTTTTGTATGCTATTGTTCCTATGGTATATAAACATGAATATATAAATACACACCCCCCCTTCCAAATAAGCGGTCTAGCTACGACCCTGCGTATATGAAAACTTTGTAGAGCAAAGTTTTTTTATTGATCATGCTTCAAAAATCGTATCTACGAACTTCTCGTGTTGTAAGCACTATTCTCTTTGTACCTGCGGATTACGCAAAACCAAGGAATGATTGTCACCAGACCAAACAATAGAATCATTAGGCTAATATCTTGGTTATTGTGTTTCCACTTGTACTTCATTTTTTCTTTAGCGTGACTATCTCTATTACCTGGAATGATTGTAGATAAATATATAAATTAATATAATGTAGAATATGTACACAAATTCCTATGTATATCCTCTGATATTTAATTTCTTCACCATTTCTTTAGACTCAAACCGACCTCACCGACCTTTATTTATATAATTCACCGATAGCGACCCCATCTTTTATCATTTTTCGTGTTTTTCTAGTTTTTTGTAGCTGTTTTGCTTTTTACAAAACAATCTTTATATCGGATTTAGTCTCTCAACTGAAAGGTTTGGTCAATTCCATGTACTCATCCCAATTATTAATGTAGAAAAATGAGTTCCTTGAGTGAACGAAAAGTACGTATTTGTACATAAGTACATAAACTGCATATATATGGGTTATTAGCGACAGATGGAATCCCTTTAGCTCCAATAAGGAAAATAATCATAAAGAAATTTTGTACCTTTAGCTTCGCATTTTAATTTGACCGAGCCCCCCACTTTTGCGATGACATCCTGAGGTTTTGAGATAAAGGTCATTTCACTCATAACTTGAACATTTATCAGTTTAGTATCAACACCAAAATGATTCTCAGCTTTACACGTATAATTTCCCACATCTTGTTTTCTCACCGACTCTATCAGTATTGGAAAGGAGTAGATAAGAATATAATTGTTGACGTAACTTTTATAGCCAGGCTAAAATATCAGTCCGTAATAAGAACTTTTTTGTTTTAAGCGAGGATACCAATAAAACAGGAGAAACTAAGAAACGAACAAGAAGGAAAACTGGATCTTTGATGTTGCCATGCATACGACCCTGGTGTATGACTGTCTTACTATTTTACTATATCAAAATCAAACTTCGATTTATGAAACTGTACTTTAAAATAGTCAAATAATTATTGTCAGTTTATGAATATCTGAAAGAAACGGTATAAGATTTATCTTTGTGAAATTTTTTACCGTCAAAATATTTCGATACGATCGCTAAAATCAAAGAAGGCATGCCCTTTCTGATTCGTTTCATTCTTCTGCGTCAGTAATGCTTCTATGTTAATACCTATGACAAGATGTTCATTGTTAACCAGTGTATACCGCGAGAAAGAGAAATCTATCTTGACTCCATCTTTCTCCCACGTGTTTTTAGCAGCAGGAGCAGCTTTAGCATGACATTTAATCGTCCCTTTCGCCCCAAGGAATAGTGTTGTCTTGCCAGTGTTCATGTTGAAGACAGGTTTCTCAGCTACATTAACAAATAAAATTTCACAGTTTTAAATAGAGATCCACAGAAAAAATCTGACCAGGGAATAATGTTTTGAAACTACCTTAAGAAAAATGCGCATCAGGGACGACCAGGAACCTACCTTGAACATCTAAATATGCAGTTTGATAGATATTGTCCACAGTATTCTCAGCTACACACTGATACATGGCAGCATCAGCTTTGGTCAAATTTGGAAAAGTAATTGTCCCTTTATCAATTACATGCGTCTTGCTGAATAATAAAAAAAGGTTCTGTCAGTGACGCAACAATAATGATAACGTTCATTACGTTTTCATCAACTCCAAATGACAAAATATGTTTCCAAGCCTGTAACTCCATGCATGTATCTTTATTGAGTCATAATTACAAAATTTAAATACCCTAAAACAATCGACTAAAGAACTACATTGACAGGACTTACTTATTGTGGCCGAATTTTTAAATGAATCAAAATTCTTCCATGTTGTTCAGATATGAAAACACATTAAAATTTGCACCTTCACTTCACACTGGTAATTTTCGTTAAAGCTGCGTATATATTGTAAACTATATTGTACCTGCTTTGGATTTGATCACCATTTTTATACCATTTGTATTTCGGCGCCGGGAACCCCGTGGCATTGCATGTCCATGAATGACTGGTATAGATTGACGGCTCCACAGATTTGATTTTCTTACCAACCCATTTTGGTTCAACTGTTAGAAAAAATGAGTCAATGAAGCTATTCCCCGCAAAGTATAGTATTTTTTTCTGTATTAATTTACCCACCGATAATAAACATAGTCTTCCCATGTACGTACGTAGCGATTATATACAAATGTACCATACCTTCAAACGTTAAAGAACCCTCGACAGTATCATTTTTGTTCCCAATCGAAGCCATGCAGAAATATCGACCTGAATGCTCTCTTTTTGCAAAATCCAGGACAAGGAGTCTGGCATCACCGTCCTCAAATCTCATGCCATCTTTGCCATTCACAATTGCATGTTCTTTGCCCTCAACATCAATTCTCCTCCACGAATACGAAGGTGTTGGTCTAGGGACATGAAAAAGAAAAAGAAAAAATCGTCTTAAACTTGGATAGTTTTATTTATTTAAAATTTTAGCGACGGCAAGGTTCTCATTTTTAATAAAGAACTCCAGCTCACATATACCTTCCAGTGGCTGCACATTTCATAGATATTGTGTCTCGCTCTTGAAATGGTTTGTTCCGAGGTAGGCTAGTCACAATTTTTGGACCAAACGTTGTCATGTTTCCTGCAGAAGGACTGATTAATTTAGCCTCTTTATGTTTAGGGTTATACTGCAGTACATTACATGGCACAGAGTAATATATGCATGCAGCCAGTAAACCTTTAGTAGTAATACAACAAATAAGAAGAAAACAATTTAATAGCTTCACTTACTCTTAACTGTGTTTAACACTGTCTTTACATTCGTAGCCCATCCAAATCGATGAACAACTATACCAACTACTGCCTCCATGCCACATACCCACTTATATTTATTGAAATATTTCACATCTTTATCAGTAAGATGTGAGTAGAACAATGTTCCATCATCCAAAACTATATAGTTTGGTTCGATTCTTATAAACTTTGTTCCTTCTCTCGACATTCTGCCCCATTTATAAAACTCGTGTGATCCAAGTTCATGCTTTGGACATTTGATGAAATTTGCCTGACCGACGATGACATTCACTGTCCGGGTGGTAGGAAGGTTTGGGTCAAATTTCCCAAGATCTTGAAACACAATTTAGTTACAGAATGTACTTATACTGAGTATTAAAATTACAATTTGAGACAAAAGTGTAAGAACCACGTTTTTACAATTTTATTCCACCACTAAGAGCAGAATGGAGGGGGGGGGATTTTCAGTATATATCATTACACAGCACAATTCTACTTAAACCCGCTGTAAACAGAGAGCTATAGCGCCGCTCCTGATTTGTTTATTTGCAGAGATTCGAGGGCTGATTATGGGCATTTGAGTTTAAATTTTACCCAGTAAAAATTTCATTACCACATGACCTGTATCGGTCTGAGAAATCACGGTGTGCTAATGTGGCTTTGACTAAAACAAATATAGAGCTATACATTTTGCATTACTCTGTCTTTTAAACTCTACAATGATATAAATACAGAAGCTGCTTACAAGTAAACTCAACTTTAATTTTCCTTCCTTTGATTGTTCCAGCATCGGTTGTCATAACAAACTGGTAAATACCAGCATTTTTCTTGCTCTGACTATTGCTGTCAATATTCTTGAGTCAAATGAAAGAAATGGTGGTTCACTATCCTTTGTTATTCTGTTGTCATCTTTTAGCCAGTAGTACTTTGCATCCAGGACAGTGTTTTTTTTACTATTAAGTTTTTAAAGTCATCTGAGAAGCCAACGAAGTCTTCGGGATCATTCAAAATTTCGGGAACTAGATCTTGTCCTTAGAAAATGACAGACCGGCGTGTTATGTTCCGGACATGCAGCGCGAAGGGCACTAGGATTGCATGCTTCATTTCTGTTAACCTTGGCAAGACATATATTCAACAATTTTACCATAAGCTATGAGTTGTATATGAGCTGGGGCTAATTGTATAAAAGAATAGTTAACTTTTCACTGTAGTTAAGGACAGAGTTTGCCAACCAGAGTCGTGTATTTCTGAGTTAACTAGGATTTAACTATGCAAAATATAGTTAAAGAGTTTTATACAACCGGCTCCTTATAGCCATCGAGTCGAAGCCGTTCTTAAGCACGTTGCTTAGTTTCATTTTAAAGCGATGTGTTCAACCTAGGCGCCAAAAAAGTGACAAGCACCAAAGTCAGGTACTCTGTCTGAACCGCAGCCTAATGCAGCCAGATCTTCATAATAATAATAATAATAATATTAATAGGCAAACTCGGATTGAATTCTCCTGACAAATTCTCCCTGTATTGCTTGCTGATTTCACAATAATATAAACAGCGGATACGGTAGCGCAGCTTATCAAATTGCGTAAGAGCTAATATAAGCAAATATATAGTAAAATCATACAATTGAAACTGAATGACAATGGTTATTTAACGTCTTACTCTTATCAACCATGCGCGAGGTCTTTAACCAAAAATATCGAACTGAGATATTCAGTGAGTTTAAGGCCCCGTTTAGTAGTTTACACTTTACCGGTTGCTTCCGGAGTGGATCAAATTTTGTAGCTTTAAAAGGCAGTAAAGAAATTGTCAGAGATCGAAATGAATGTACCAAATCTATAGCAAACTAATAAGCATTTGCAAACGAAGATATATCGTGACAAGCGAATCCGGACTTATCCGGTATAGTGTAAACGGAGCCCAAGATGCACTTGAGATGCACCAAATCTACGACGTGCACGTGAAGTAACACTGACGTTATTTCCACAGTTTCGCCTCAATAGGGCCGGATAAAATCATAGACGGCTGCGTGGTAAACAACGTCAGAGCCGTGCGCAAAACAAATTTAAACTTCCTAACCCTAACCCTATTTTCATTTCATGCCTGCTTTCAGCATATTCTTTTAGGTATTCTCTGTTTTTAATCTCGCTGACCACTTTAGGAAAACAGGAAATCTCATTGCACCACGGTTCCATCTCAACGAAAGCGATGCTTGCCATTGTATAAAATTGTAAATTGCATGCGTCCATAACTAAAGCTCGGTCAATACCCGAAAGTTATACACACGAGACTCACCAGCTACAATATAGACTAGTGTACACAGAGCCAACCAAATCATGGTTTGTTTTGCAAAATTGTAGAAAACTTGAGGAGTAGAGCTCTAAATCAATTATACATAAAATACTGGTCAGTTAAAGTTCATACAAAGTTCGTATGTTGAATATATTTATTAGGAACTGCATGTAAAAAGTTGACAAATTTTACGACTCACAATAGTTTCAAAGATATACCAATATAAAAAACGACTTTTGACAATTGTGTCAGTTTGAAGTGTTTCGTGAGAGACGAACGTTTGAACCTTCTTAATGGACCGTACTGGTAGCTAGGTCAAAAATACATGGAAGTGAGGCTAATGTATCACGTCATTTCTTATTTTTCCAGCCTCATTCCCACGTTGTGCGAGCTTATATTACGATGTAAAGTTATAATGCTGGTTAAATACCAAATCACATTCTGGTAATAAGAATACTGAAACAAAAATCTTGTCAACTATAAACAATTCATTCGTGAAGGAAACATTAATGACACCGTTTAACCTGAAATCAATGTTACGCCGCGAAGAATCGATTGAATCAGCTGATGTATATAGTATTACTTTCAGTTCATGCAAATGTTTCGATGAAGTGCTTTAATCAAAATCTAAGACAGTTTTATAGTTGTTACATTACAAGGTCATGCAGTTAAACATCATTTTATGGTATGCTCTTAAATTAGCATAGCATTTTTTAAACCATGGAGGATTTTAATTTTCCTCCACGTAAAAATGCCCCAACATAGCGTGTGAATCATTTCTGCACGTGCTAGCTCTGATCGATGAATATGGCCAGCCAGGCCAGGTTCACACTGGCTCCTAAGAATCGGGGAGCCTCTTAGAAACTAATGTGAACGAGGCCTTACTTTTCGATAGACAAAGCATTTTGCACACCAGCGACCTCAGACAAAGGGAATTCCAGATTCTTAGGACAAGTGTGAACTAGACTTATACTTCATGCAAGTTATAATATTTTTACTTTGTATATATTCTATACTCTACTCGTTCTTCATTTCCAAAAACATGCGCGTTAAATAATTATAGGGCGATACGAGAAGACGGAAATGATGGCGGATGTTTACCTGAAATAGATAGAATGCATGCATGCGGTCCGTCTTTGTTTCAGAACTCTGAAGCAGGCCGAACTTCTTAAAAGCCCGAAAGAGTAAATATACTCAGATTTATTTATCTAATCTATATTCAGACCTCCTCTTGTGCCAAACTTTATGTTAACGAGCTTTTGTTTAAATTCATTTGTTTCAGTAAAGTCTTTGTTTAAGTTTGACATCTGAATTTGACTCAGCACATGAAACGTTGGACGCCTGACCCATAATCTCTTGCCTTGTGTGATTTTAAAATACATTCTTAATTTCCTTTGTTATTATAGCATACTGTAGTCACACAAAGTAAGTTGACCAGCTTCCTCGGTTCTCATAATCGTAATCTATCGTACGATGTTTTTGTAGCCAGTGGCGCATAATATTCTTTTAGAAATTCACCTTCAGAGTACAAAAAATGTATCGTAGCTAGAGCATGCTGAGCATCGTACGAAGTATTACAACCATGCTTTCCATAAAAACAAGGCTTTAAAAGACATTATCTCTGAATATAAGAATAAAATGTGTTTTACGTACCTTTTGAATGAAGTTCGTGCTAAACTATACAACTTTCATAAGTGACTGACGTTCAAAGGTCTGCGGTTTCTTTATGGTATAAACATTCTGTATATACTGTAAATATACAATTAACATATATAGTATGTGTAAATTACCATGGAGGAAGTCTTCGATATGACGTCATGATGGGTTGAGAATAAATTGTAAATGACATTTTTTGGGAAAAAAACGCATATTTAACTCTTCCTCTATTGTCGTAGAGAGCCGTTGAGTCAATATTAGATAAGCCTCACTCGTCGCCAAGTCTATGGCGCCAATAAACCCGAGTTGCACGATTGCAAAACCAGTTTATTAAAACACAGTGATTAAAAATAACTTTATATGCACTTTCAAGCTCAGATCGAGTTGTAATATCTAGAGTTAAGGCTGTTTTTTGCATATTCATACAGATGGCGATCCATCCATACACACGCAAGGCGAGTAAATCTTTCCAGATAACAGATACACACAAGTAAAGTCTAATGACATCATATTCAGGTGGTTATTCAATGAATATGAAATCTACATGGTATCCCAAAGAAAAGTGACCATATAGAAATTATCCTGTATAATTTCAAGTCTGAGCCCTATGCTAAACCCCGAGATGCATGCAGACATCAGCTTCTTGAAATTAACTCCTACACTATAATTTGATTCGACTTATATACAAGGAGCTCATGCATGCATGGTTCAACTGATAGAGGAAAAGTAATATAATCGTTGTAATGCAAACGACATAGTATAAATAGGATAAATCATGATAACACAAATATTGTAGAACACTTACCTTTGCAAATCAATACACTGAATACAGACTCGATATCGATCGATTATCCCGCTCTTCTCGGTCACCAAACGAAACAGCTGTAAGCCTGCATGTATATAATATAAACAATAAACAGTTCGTTTATACAGCGTTCACATCAAACGGGATAAACTTTTGTTCATGGGGCGATTAGAAGAAAATTCGCCACAAACATTCCCATCGGCGGATCTCAGCGTTATGCTGGTTTTCAACTATAGTGATATGTTTCGCGCAAGACGATATTTTGTTTTTGTTTCAGAGCTCTCAGCTGTGAACATCTGGAAAAATTGTCCAAAGACAAAAGAATGAATTCGCTTTGCATGCATGAAAAATATCGCTGGTGGAAAACCAACATTCAAAATAAATTATACTGCAGCAAATTCCAAATGTACATCCAAATATACATCTGAATAACATCAGAATATAATGATACTAATGGGTCTAAATTTCTAAAGACTATTTGGAATTTAAATCTGCTAGTATACTGATCAATCTGAATGTTTTAAATGTTCTAGTTTACTTTGACTAACTTAAAATAAGAGCTCAAAATATGAGCTGTTCTAGTTGATTTTGACTCTAAACCAGTCACTGCAAAGGCGGTTTTCCACTGCCACTGGACAGTTCTATATGCCGTGCATGAATCTATCGATAAAATCTTGAGCGATATTGTGCGACCGACGCATTATGACATGTTGGGATAATCAAATCCGGCATTTAGTGTGAAAGGTCTATATATTTACGTGCATAGATTTTATGTCAATTCACTCCAATATACACATGCACTAAGTAGAATTATTATCAAAGATTTACTGGGCATTTTTTGACTATACCTTATTACAGCTATATAGTATATACAAGCAAAAATTATTTCTAATAATAATAATAGATTCATATCAATACGAATCAATATTTGTATATGTATTAAAATCAGGAATTAAGGACAAAGATGGTATACTTACAGAAATGCTATACATTCTTACTTTCTCTCTGAAATCATTTAAAGGAAAAAAGATAACGTGCATGATTAAACGGTCAGTTCACAAAACATAATATACTGTGAATGTTTTAAAGTTTGAAATCATCATCGACATCAACTCGGATCAACACTTCACTCTTTTGGCCGGACATCTGCTTTTGATGACTGTGGGAAAGCTGGAAGCGGTTCATCAGTTCATGTATTCTCGCATTTGTTCTTTTCAAAAGTAGATTTGATCAGATAATAAACCACATATAGCTTGAGAAAATATCGGAGAAAATTTTCAGTTGTGTTGACAATTTTGAAATGCGCACTACAGCATATTTTAATCAATTCACGAGTATATAGTGTTCTACAGTTCTAGCACAAACGGCATATTAAGAAATGCATTATTCATCATACGCACATGGAATGAATCTCATTGGTTCTTCTCGCACTAAAGCCAAGTTTACACTAGAAGCCTAGATCTGGCCTGGCCATGGTATCCGATAGCAAGATAATTGTCAAACATAATCAGTGACAAAATACTTGGGAAAGACCCCAAACACGCCGAAAAGTGGTAACTACTAGCATGGATCCTATACAGATTATACTATTAGGTTGAAAATTGGTCAGGTAAAGGAAGGTCGCCTTTTACCAGCTAGATAAAGCCCCGAAAATTGGTCAGGTGAAGGCAGCCCTTTACCAGCTGGGTCCGTTCACAACTCCAGGTCAGGTCCAGGCCACCTTCTTCTGTAGGCCTGGGGCCGGTTGTACGGAGGCTGGCGCTATCCACCGGATAGTGATTTTTTCAACCGTTCTAAAAATGCTCGAAAAGCGATAAAATTCATCTTTGGAAACAACAGTTGTTATAGCAAATAACAGACGATTTTAAAGCGATTGAAGTTGAATTGATTCACTGTAACCGGTGGATAGCGCTATTCGGCTTTCATACATCCGCTGGATTTCACGGTCTAGACCACGCCCAGGTCAGGTCTAGACCAGATAAACCACGTTCACACTAGAACTAGACCTTGTCCAAGCCAAGTCAAGCGCAAAGTGTAATCGCGGCTCTTCCTGGATTTTGTGTCCTGGACCATGCAGGTCCACGCCAGATAAACAACGTTCGCACCTAAAGCCCGCGCCGCACACGAGAGCTATTAGCTGAGCTAAAGACCACGGGTGGCTGTTAGCTCAGCAATTTACTCTCGTGTTCGGATAGTTTTTTGTGAGGAATTCGCCTTGAAAGGCAAGTTTCTCATGTGTGCGGATGGTTTTCGGGCTGAGCTAACAGCCCCACGTTGATGCTGAAATAGGTCACCCAAAGGTAATGGCCCAGAATTATACAAGTTCTTATACATGGTAATGCTATATTGTAAAATGAAGTTATTATTTAGATGGCACGAGTCTGCATGTTCCCTTAGTTGAATCCCTTTATAATCACATTTCAGAGAGGCTCAGTATTAAGTAGTAAACACGGGCGAGGAAACGTTTATCTATACTAGCTATAAATTGTTCTAATCAACTATAAATTGCTTACAATCCCGACACGCCGTTGTTTAATCAATTGGCGACGGTATTCCCATATTCTCAGCCAAAATTCTGATTTTGGAATCAACACAATCCCAGGTAAAATAACCTTGCTCTAAATGTCGTACATTATCACTGGTATCTTTATACTCGGCTCTTGCGTGCATGACTAATAAGAAGAAAAAGAGAAAATTAGAAAATTAACTATAACAATGAAGACGCTTGCTAGCGTTTACTCGAGCTAAAGGAGCTCGAGTGTTTTTGCTTGTGTTTTTAGCCGGAGAAAGTTTATAAATCAAAGCAGATGCGCGCAGTCGTTTAGTTTTGATCGAGACATAATATATAGAATATGCGTACCGACATTTAATTTTGATCGCGGCAGAATATGAGTGCAGTCGTTTAGCTTCGATCAAGTTCACAGAACATGCGTTCCGTCATTTAGTGTTGATTGAGTACACAAAATATGTGTGCAGTGTCGTTTACTCTCGAACCTTCGATCGAGTACACAGAATATGCGTAAATCCGTGCAGTTTTGATCGAGTAGACAGTATTGTTTTGCTTCGATCGAGTACAGAGAATGTGCGCCTATAAGACGGTCACAAATATGTCACATGCGACTACGATTTATTTCGATTGGCCAAAATTAAGATTGGCCGCGTGAGAGAATAAGTCTTGCATGCAAAAAAAACCTGACCGAATTTAAGACTGTCGCTTTAGCTCGAGTATTAATGTTTACCAGCCGAAAAAAATATTTCATACGGGGCTTTTCATGCGACAAATCAAGTCGGGAGCTCATATATATTGCATTACCTCGGCCATTATTAACTGCCAAGATTTCATCTGGTTTCATTTTGTACGAAAAAGAGGTTCTTTTGTCCTGCATGAGTTCGGAGTAACGAAAATAGGCTTTATAAAAAGATTTCATAAGCTTCGGTTCCAGTGGCATCTGATTGTCACGATACTCGTCACTATAAAACAACTGCTTCAGTTTCTTTGCCGGGTCAAGTCTATATGGAACAAAAAGGACACGCAAGAACATTTAGAATATCAATCACGCAATAAGTCCGAATATTAGAATATTCGCTTTCGGTTAAAGAGTGGTAAAACACAAGTGTTTCAATACTGACCGGATCAAATGATGACTGGAGAGAGTATGCATTTTTCCAAAAGTGGTTTTTGACGTGCAATTGCGGAATGTCACTGGTGTGTTCACAAGAATTTCAAATGACTCTGGATATTCCTCGTAGAGGAGTTTTGCTGCATGAAAGCCATCAACTAATATATTTTCACCACCTTCCCCTTTCGTTTGTTCAACACAATGAAGCATCAAAGCCTAAAAAATATTCAGGGGCCAGTTGTTCAAAAGACGGTTAACTTAACCTAGGGCTAACACAAATTTTTGGCTACACCAATTTTCAGTTAGTCTCTTGTTTCAAATATTTGAATATTTTTCCATGAGTACTTTCTGGTTCAACAACATTCAACTAGCAACTAGGGATGAGGTTGGCAAGCCGAATACTTACATCATGCTTTCAGGCAGCATTTCTACCCATGGGTAACCTAGTCTAACCTTTCTAAATACGGGTAGGAAGGGCGCACTGTGTCACACTGCATACGTCATCACGACCTTTTCGCCGCGCGAGGAATTTCAACAGTTTTTATTTTCATAGCACAACTTTAAACCTAAATTTTTCTTCTAATCTGAATTTGTCGAATTTTTCTTACTTCTAGTCCGAATTTGTCGATAATATTGGTATCTTTATGATCGGGAAAAAACAAATTTTCAAAAAATATAAAAAACCCGAAATCGAAATTTTGATAGCATAGTGGAGTATGCAAAAGTGCGGTAACGTCCCGGGAAATATACACTGCCCTATAGTTTGTCGTACTTATAACTGAATAACTACAATGTTATGTTCTTTTTAAGATGAACTTAACTTACCGCGGCTTGGCCTTGGTTGTAGGTAAGATCAGTATGGCAGGGCAAATAGGAAGGGGCATAGCTAATTTCATGTTGCCCACCGCTTGCTTTTACTTCACTTATTAGTCTAAAGGGAAAATTACACGTCACGTATTGAGAGCGAACATAATCAGGGCGCTAATAAATTATCTATAAGCGCTTGAGCATAATCGTTCTATGCCAGTGATGCCAGGTTCTATGCTTTTTTGTCTACTAGTTTCCAAACGGCTAACAACAATTTTGTAATCGTCCGGTGCATGGCTATTCAACTACACGGCCATGCACGATGAAAAAATATTTATGCACATATTTTGAAAATAAAGCGATGTGGCATTTGCAATTTTTTAATTTCTGCATCTGTAAACAGTCGCTGAAAACTTCTGTTTGTATTAGTTTTTAGAACCTTTGAATTATAGGCAAAATCTTTGATCTATAGGCTTGCAATTGATGATATTTTTATCTTACTAACCCGTAACTCGTTGTCATAAGATAGCCAACTCTATCACCCAAAGTTCCTAGATGACCAGACCCGCTAGGCGCATTTTCTATCTTAGTTATTCCAGTTCGAGTTGCTATTTCCACCAACCACTTAAACAGCTCTTTATCATCCTTCAGTAACTTATCAAATTGAAACGTAGGCAACTTCCCTTCTTGAGACATGTCTGGACCCCATAATTCAATACCCTTCCTTATCACACCAGATAAAGGTTGATCTTCACCAGGTGGACGATACCTGAAAATTTTGTGTAAAGACTTGATAATAATAATAATAATGAGTGTGATGTCTTCGATGAGTTTCTCGTCTCTTTCAAAGAAACTTTGCATAAAAATGTTTGATCTGCGGAAGATCGTTAAGTGGGACGTGGATCGTTAAGCCTCTGGCGCGGAAATTCCAAAGGAAAAATCATAATTGCCGCCATTTTGCCCACGAAATTTCCGCGTGGAGACCTGGTTCACACCCACACGAAAAGCTTCAGTGTCCGCCATTTTGGCTTCAAACTTCCGACAGGGTGAGCGTTCGGTTGTTGCTAAAGAGTATGGGCGAGAGGTAGGTGACCGTGAGAGGTTTGGGTCTAGTTGCGTGTTTATTGCGTGTTCGTGTTATTTTGCTATTTTGGGATATATTTTCAAAGTCAAACTTCACAAAGTCAGAGATTCATTTAGGCTCAACTGCACAAATCAAACCAAACGTTGAAAATTAGAAGTATCTATATATGCTATATAATCGAATATTTACGCAAGTATTTATAGGGTAAAATGTAGGATTGATGTTTTAACACGCAATTAAAGGCATGTACCGTGCGATATGGGGTCTCAAATGCTTTTATATTCTGCATGCAGTTTGAAGAAAAACTTTTTTCAACTGTATCCACCTTTATAATGCTAAAACGAATTGCATTACAGTACAAAGTGGCACAGTGCTGAAACTAATTGTATTTCAGTATGTAAAGATTTACCATAACATAAGCTTGTCTCCTAAATATAAAGCTCCCACCCCTATCAGAATACAATTTTGTAAGTTATTAAGTCATTCCTTCACATAAAAGACAAGTACTTTTGTAACATCTAATGGTTTTCTTTACAATAACAGGCTATGTGTATGTGAATTGCTAATATGACTATGCTGGTCTACATTAATTATGAGGTTACATGTCTGTAATAAGTATAACATAAAAAAACTAGTTCAATGACAATTTGTGATTTTGAGAAGAAACGAAACGGCTATCTTTAAAACCAGGAACGGAGAATCAAGGAACGGGAATCAAAGAACGGGGAACCAGGAACGGGGAATGAGAATCTCCGGAATCTTTGAAACCCGGAACGAGAATCTCCGGAATC